AAGTGGGGCCCGTGCACCGTAGCCAGAGGGGGGTGTGGCCGGAGATGTGCCCGAGGGGTGTGTCTGTATCAATTTTCTTATGGAAATAAGTAGAAGAATACACATAAAACATTAAAACTTCATCAATACCTATTATTTTTGTTTTATAAATGTTTTCACGATTTATCCTCCAAAATCTATATGTTCTTAAATTTGTTCATTTTGCTATTTGCCGTTGGAATTGTTTAGTCATCTATTTTTTACTTATAACTTAATTTGTCATGGGAATGATAATGTTTTTCTAATAAATCCATTAAATACAGAAAATTCAACCCGTCGTGGAAAGAAAAATCGCAGTTATTTGTTTTTTCTTTTTGGCGGCTCAGATTGAAGAGCTCAATTTCCATCTTTTTTAGGACAAGTTATGATGGCTAGCATGGTTGGATTTCTTTCAATACGAAAAAAGTCGTTTTGAAATGTTAATTCAAATTTTTTGCCCATGATGTAATCGTTTGGATGTAGCTACAGGAATAAGTGTATTTATATCATCAAAACAGTTAAACTCATGTTTTTCAATTGCTCTTAATCTTATTAAATTTGAATGGAGCAACCGTTTTTTTTTATATCACTAGTGAGGATGCACGTGCGTTGCACGTGGTTAAGTTTCATAATAATTTTGTTTTATTCCCTTAACATAAATTGGTTGTGAATTTGTTTCTATTAGATCTTCACTTGATGATTGAATCTTGTGTGAAACTTTAACATACTTACGTTCACGTTCCTTCAGCCTTAATTTATATGTTTTCTATTATCATGTTATTATCATGTTAATTTTAAAAAATTTCATGAAAATTCCTTCTAAAAATTTGTTACAAACTATGAATCTTTTTAAGCGAAAGATGGTTTAAACACAAAAGCAACCCTCATTCTTAATTTGCTAGTTAGTTTACTCTAGCGTTACATTTCCGTGCTTATCGTATATGTCATCAGAAATCAAGTTGATCAGTTGAGAACTTTAGTATATATATATTTTTTGTGAGGGACAAATATAATTGGTAGAACTGCAGATGTTGCCTATAGGTTTACATCTAAAGTGTAACAAATTATGTACTTACATTGTGAAGCTTACAATCATCCAACTTTATTTATGAGATAAGCTTTCTGAATCCTTCTGCAGCATTAATTTTCCATGGACTCGAGCTCACAACTTCATGATGTTTATATATGTCATCAAAACTATATTAGCAACTTACACTGGTTTTAAAGTCTAATCATAGTTCATTGGTGATAATAAATGTCTAAGTTGAAAATGGAAAAAATACCAACTACTTTCACTTTTATTATACATTTATGTTATACCCTCAATATATGTATGCAGCATGTGTAGAAGATATATGGTAAAAGTAAAAGATAACTTATTCTTTAAAAATATTATCCTCAATATGTAAACATGTGTAGAAGATCAAGAATAAAAATGAACTCTCTTTTAGACATTGATTCATTATAAATGTTCAAAATCGGAACTCTCTTCTAAATAATTATCAAGATATCTGCATATGCAAGTTCTCATCCATCGGGATGAAATATTCTGCTTTCAAACTAAAATTTTGACATAAATACATTAATTGCTAATTCCTTCACAACAACATTCCATTATTGTATGTCCAACTTGATTCTAAATCATGGCTCTTATCTCATAGGCTCGTCATCCTCTCTCATGATAAAAGATCTTTCTTATGACCAATATGCAACTTCATGGAGAACTCATCAAATATTACTATTTTCCTAAGAAACTAATTATGCTAAAAATAATCATGTAAAGCTCCTGCTTATTGGTGAATATCAAACGAGTTCATCAAGATAACAATTGTCCATGTACTTTCTTTTTGAAGCATAATGGTTAATATTTGTGAATATCAAGGCAAGTATAGACAAATTCAAGGTGTAAAACTTTTATTTTTACATTTTTTGAGAGATGGTTATAACATTTTATTAGAATCAAACATACAAGAAACACAATAGAAAAGAGGTATAAAAAAGACGAATAAGATAAAGTAATGTTACTATTTATAAAACCAAATGTAGAGATGAGCAAATAAGAGTGCCTATTATTGTAAGTGATATTGCAGTGTAAGTAAGAGCACCACGTCAACTTTTTTTTCATCTTTGTATTTATGTTTTGGAGTATCCTCAGCTAGCACAACCACATACTGTCCATCTTGTGGCCAGAAATGAAATTCAACCAAGACATTGAAAATATCAATAATTAATTTATATCATAAAACTATATTTTTTCCACAAATTGATTTTGGAGAAATGGAAAACTACTAATTTGACGGTGAGGGGAGAAATAAGGAGGAGCTTAAAAATCTCAACGAAAAAAATATAGCCAGAAAATGGCCATTTTGATCATCTCAATAAGGTTGAATATTTAAGAAAACCTCCCAAAAACACTTTGAATTTTTACACTTAGTTTCCATAATGGAGTTGCTCTATAATTTTATATAGATGAAAATTAACCTTTCAGGCCAATATATTCCACTAAGATCATTCATATCTTCAAGTTAGTCCATAAGCTTTCAAACAATTTTTGTTATAAAAAATTATAAACAATTTTGAAGAATATGAAAATTATACATAGCTGCCTCAAAATTTAAAATGGCAAACAACTTGCACAAAAATTTTTAGTATTAAAAACAATCCTCTTTAGATTTCTAAAAATACATATAATTCCCTAAAAAATCAAGATATTGCAAACAAATCCTTAACAAAATAAAAAATTACATATATCCTCTAATAATCTATAATTACAAAAAGTCCTAAAAAACCAAAAAATTGTAAAAGATCCTAAAGATTCTAAAATTATAAATTAGCTCCTAAAAATATAAAATTACAAATAAACTCTTAAAAATTTTGAAAACTACAAACAACCCAATTTAAAATCTATAAATTATAAATAGCCCCCTAAAAATTCAAATAAACATCTGAAAAATATATAAAGTAGGATGCAATCTAGCTATCAAGTTAAGATGAGGCAAAAAATCATAAATAGATAAGAGAATTAAGTGAAAAATATTATAAAAAAATCATGATGTTCTTTTCTGAGAGCAAAACAAACTTTCAATGACAAATTGAACTACATGAAAGGGAAGAGATAAAAAAAATGGTTTAAACACCTCTTTGATATATAGAAAATATTTACGGTTTACTATTGGTCATACATCTCATGATCTAGCACGTACTCCTCTTGATATTGTATTTCAAAAATTAAAATAAAAAATCTACGCGCTTACTCATGAGCTAACTTTGTCTTATTTTTTAGGAATTAGAAGCACCGACATAACTAATGATGACATTCATAGAAAACAAATGGATTAAATATATAAATAACTAAATAAATAAAAGTAGGTACAACCGTGCAGAGACATGCATCACTTGTATATAATAAAACAAAGGGTAAAGATTGATGGGTTCACTCTCTTATTAAGAAAAATATAAAATGAAGCTAAGTGCACCAATATATACAAACCAACCCAACTGTTAAACTTTCTCACTTGTTCAAATACTCAAGGGACACATGCATATAATCTTTAAAGTTAGCACAAATGAACAAAACAGGCTTCATTAATTAAAATCACGAAGTAACTAAATATCCCTTTGTTTTAAAGCTTGAGTTGAAGTTGTATATTTAGACTTGCATGATACACAACCATATACGCTCACATGGCATTTTGGCATTCTATGAATAAAAAGCTACGGATGAAACTCACATAAAAATTATAATTATGATGCTATACCTATGACAAAAAAGATTCATAATTAAGCTTTATTTAAAAATCACCATCGACAACATAGTTGACATTCTTATTTCTGACGACACGCATTGTTTGATCTCAGAAGTAGGACATGTAACACTTCAACTTGAATTGGCTAGTAGCATTGATCCTCTCTAACTCATCATGACCTCATTCCGCACCAAAGATTGGACCAAAAAAGGATGCAAAGTGTCATCTCGTGACCAAGGTTATCGATAGCGGATAGCGTCATATAGCGGTGAGGCATCGTTAAGGCTATCTGGGGCTATTACAGCAAAATAGCAGTAAAAAACGCAAAGTCAAATACCTGTCTAATTTAGATATGTATAAATATTAAAAAATAAAAAAATTAAAGAAAATTCTAGAAAATCTAAAAGTGCATTTGATGATTTAAAATTTAAAGAGATCCTAAACATGAAATAGATATGTAATTATCACATAACACCGAAGACGACTGGATGAGTCAAAGAGTCGTCGTCTTTGAGAAAATGAGCTAAACGGTGAGAGGACTGCACTAGGAGGAGCTCACGATAAGAGGTGAGAGGAAGTGCTGAGGGAGGTGCCAGAGGTTATAGAAGGCGGCAGGAGTACGTGGGAAATTAGGGGAGACGGTGGGATGTAGTGGTTATGGGTCGGGTTTAATTTAAAAAAAAATAAACCNTCTTAAATAGCGGTCAAAAAACGGATTTTACCTGCAATCGCCTGCTATTCACTACTATGACGCTATTGGCCACTTTTGCAAGCAAAAAACACATATTTTGTAATATGTTATCGCTATTGGGCGATAGCGTAGCGGGAAGGGACCGCTAACGCTATTCGTGCCGCTATTGCGGGGCTATTTACCGCTATTTATAAAGTGCTCGTGACTCTTCTTGACTCTTCCCAACTAATACGATATAGTCCCATTACTAATAGGTAACATCCTGCATGTTGAGAGCACCATAAACATTCACATTAGGAAATATTTAGCACTTATAGGATCTCCCCTATCTATGTTTTGATTATGCTAGACGAACACAAATAGGTTAGGAACGAATCTTGAAGAATTATTTCGTAAAATTAAAAATGTGATATGATTCAGTATAAATAGAAAGCTAACTGATAGAATTATCTTAAAATATCTACCATTCAACTGAAGTAGAATGACATTGGAGCATTGGCATCTTAGTGCATGGCTTCATTATGGGAAATTTTTTGCTTCACATCCTTCTTATAAGTGTCAACGTTTATCATGACATAATCTTACATCTTCATCTTCTCGAGAGGGCGCTTTTGCTGCTCTCTTATAGAGAATAGAAAGAGAAGAGTCATAAGGAGGTGAGAAAGTGCATAGTAGAGACGTTATGATAATCAGTAGAGGATTAATGGGCATTGAGTATAATGATGCAACTAATTAAAGTCAGTTAATAGGGAATAAAAATGGAACACGGTTATGAATGTGAGAAGTTGCTCATTCTTATTGTTTATTTATTCATGTTTTATTATAGTTATATTATATACTACACGCATGACCTGATTATAATATACTTATTTAACTTTATTTATTTTTTATTATAGTTATATTATATACTACACGCATGACCTGATTATAATATACTTATTTAACTTTATTTATTCATTTTTTATTTCTAGTATAAAACTACACGCATGACCTGATTATAATATACTTATTTAACTTTATTTATTCATTTTTTATTTCTAGTATAAATTGCAGGCGTAATTGACTATTATCTTCCCCTCATTCTTATGTATCTTGTTGGAAGAAAACCGTCCTCTGAAATAACATTTCCTTAAAAATATCCCCAAAACTCAACGATATTTAGGTTTCTTTCAAAAAGCAAATTTTTTTACCATTATAGAAAATTACATGTAAAGCTTGTGATTGTAACAGTACGGAGACTGAAGGAGGAGAATAAAACTTGTAACTTTCAAGGAGTTTTTTGCCCTTTCTTAATTGTATTGAATTTGAGTTCATCACTCTCCATTGTCCGAGTGCTATACTTGCATTAAGCAATTATGAAACTTAAGGATTTTTAATTACCTAACGGTTCCAAATCATTACCTTCATCCATGCCAACTCTTCTATATTCTTTAAATATAATGAAAAAGGCTCATTCATAACGTAGGCATTAAATTACATGAGTTATGGAATCTTAAGGATTTTTAATTAATAATTAATAAATAAAAAATAAAATGGGGAAAAATTAAAATGGGAATTATGAAACTTAAAAGGGGTAATATAGACATTCAAAAGTTTTGATTACCATATTCTCTTTTATAAGTAGTATAGATATATATGTATAAGTATATATAAGTATACTTTCTCTTATATAAGTATATACAAGAATACTCTCTCTTATATATGTATAATGTATGTATGTATGTATATACTCTCTCTCTTAATATATATGTATATATAAGTATACTCTCTCTTATATATGTATACTCTCTCTTATATAGGTATATATAAGTATACACTCTCTTATATATGTATACTATATGTGTGTACATATATATATACTAATATACTCTCTCTCTTAGTATATATAAGTATACTCTCTCTTATATATGTATACTCCCTCTTATATAAGTATACTCTCTCTTATATGTGTATAATATATGTGTGCGTGTGTGTATACTCTCTCTCTTAGTATATAAGTATATATAAGTATAGTATATCACAACGGCTACTTCTTCCTCATTGGCCCAACGAGCAACGGCTACTTATGCGATTCTTTCTCTCTCAAGTTATAACTTATAAATATATACAATATATTTACATATAATATATTGTAAATATATTGATAGTTACATAATAATTTGTAAGTATATACTAATACATAATTATATAAAATATAATAATATTAAACTAATTTTTAGCATTTTTTTATAAAAAATAAGTACATTAATCCTTCTCTTTAACCCCTCTTCATTAACCCTTTGCCAAACGGGGCCAGGCTAAACGACACTTAAGGGGCTGTTTGGTTCGCTAAAAATATTGGAAATGAAAGGAAAAGGAAACGCTTTTTTAAAACCATTTCCATTTCTTGTGTTTGGTTCACTTTTTATTGTGAAAAAGAAATGAGATGAGATGAGTTGTCACCATATTATTGGATGATGTGAGTTATTTTAAAATAAAACTTATTAGAGGTTCTTTTCTTGTGTTTGGTTGGCTAAAAAATAAGGAAAAGAAAAAGCTTTCCTTGTTTAGATTCTTTTATTGTGATTGGTTCCTTCTTATAATTAAGAAAAGAAATGAGATGAGATGAGTTGTCATTATATTATTGGTTGATGTCACCCAATCTTTTGGAAAGCCATTTCCAAGTTTTTTTGGAGGATGTGGAGAGAGAAAAAATGGAGATGAGAGGAGATGAGTTGTCAATTTTTTATTGGATGATGTGAGTTATTTTTAAAGATGAGATGAGATGGGGTGATGTGACTTGGATGATGTGACCCATTTCTTGTGTTTGATTTATTTTTAAAAGTAAGAAATGAGATAAGATGAGATGAGTTGGGGGGATAAAAATAATATTTTATTAGATGTTGTGGATGAGTTGGATGATGAAAATAATATTTTATTAGATGTTGTGGGTGTTTTTTTGGAATGGAAATGGAATCTAATAATATTATATTACATTTCCAAAAAACTTTCCATTTCTTGGTTTTTAGGAAACGAACCAAACAGCCCCTTATCCTTTGAGGTCCTTCTCTTGGTTCCAGGCAGAGCGCGTCGATGCTAAAACCGTAAATAGCATTTTTTTCCACCTATTAATTTACCCCTCTATTTCTAGGGTTTCCGTTTTCCCCGCTTCTCTCCAATCTCTTCTCTCATTTTCTCAATTCTACAAACCCTAGCTCTCTCCAATGGCGGACGAATCCCAGTACTCCTCTTCTCGATCCGAGAACAAGCGGAAGTTCGACGATCCCTCTCCTCCTCCTCCGCCGTCGTACAACAGCGTCGCTCCCCCTCTCGATGGGATCCAGCTCGCCAAGCTCAAAGCGCAGGAGATCGCCGCCAAGCTCTTCAGTGAATCCGAGGCCAAGAGGCCTAAGAACGACAACGGCGCCGTCTCTTCTCTAATCAGACGCGAGCCCCTCCGGCGGGCCTGGATCTCGTCGTCTAGGGTTTTTAATTGTTTGTTATTGTTGTTTTTATGGTAGTATTAGAATTAGGCTTTGGATCTGTGGCTGCTGATTGTCAGAATTAGGGTTTGGTTTATTAGGACATTCCTTAGTTTTGTGCTTAGGGTTCATATTTGTTGCACGTAAATGTGATGCACTCCAATATCCCTCGTCTTGCCCAAACCACAAACCCTAGAAATCTCAAATCGAAACCCGGGCCTTAGTCAATTCAATCGAGGAAGACTCAGTGTTCATCTTCTAGACCAGACAACAACTGGAAGACTGAGGGCGCCAATCCCCTCCACCTTCGTCCTGCAACATAGTTGCCTCCCCCCCAATGGAATCTGGTTCGCCAATCGCAAACCTCAGGCCATCGCCGAGGCGAAAAGTTCTAATTTCACTAATTAGGGTTTGTATTTCCTTAAAAAGGAAGGATTTGACTGATGATGACGGTTTGGGGCTATAACTTGCTTGTAACATTAGGGGCTTTCGGATTCATGACATACTTGGGCTTCTTAGGCTTTTCTTTAATTCGAGCTGCAGGTTCGACTAGGGGTCTTATTTCTTTTAATACTTGGGTTGTTATATATTATATATTGAGTTGGATAGACACAGAGAGATCTCAATTGTCCAAGTTTACGTTCCTAGTTTACCAATTAGGATATGCTGATTTTCATATCAGTGGCTATACTTGTGTTGTTATTGTTTTTTTTTGACTGGTGATTTGGCTGCATAAGTATTCTTTTTTGCTCTGCTGCATTGTTGGCTACAAATATTAGTGATTTGGTTGGTCCATCCCATAGGATTTTCTTGTTCTTTTCTGTACTGAGGTTTGTTTCTTAGGTTTTGATGCTTATAGTTAATTTGGGAGACCAGAAGTTTGCTTGAGGGATTCACCATAATCCTAGCCGCCTGAAAATAATATACTAAAATCACGTAGCATGCACTTTACATGGTTAATTGATACATCCATGTGTTCCCATTGTGGTGATCACATGTACCTACCCGGTTGATAAATGGCTCCTCTATGTTTCATGCTGGTTTTACTGTCAGGTTAGCATATAGAGAGTTGGATATATAGAGCTGTAGATCAGCCAGTTGTCTCAATATAGAATGATATATAAGTTGTTACTTTTCTTTTGCTTTTATTGTTTGATTTCACCTTTTGCATAGTCCACCATCAGCCTCGCACACCATTCATTATGATAACACTTCAGAATGCAATATCTAATTTGTCAACTCCCATTTCATTTAATTGATGTGTTTGAATCTTATATGAATATCATTACGAGCATTATGGTAAATCTGTTTGGTGTCATCATACGGAAGTTTGACTTTTTTGGATGTTTAGGTAGTACATGTAAATGCTTTATGTTGATTTAATTATACTGTTTTCATTATTCAGACTATATGCAGAAGCCTATGAGTCAGATCCCTTCCCAGGTAGGCATGACTCAGCCCACATCGTTTACTCCATATGGCTATGGCGCTAGCAAGAAGATAGACGTTCCAAATGGAAGGGTATACAGCTTTTGTCTCACTTGTTGACATTCATAAATTTGTTGGGATTGATTTAGTTTTATATTCCTAGTTCTTGCAAGCTTAGATTGTCATTTTTTAGGTTGGAGTTATCATTGGGAAAAGTGGAGAGACAATTAGAAATCTTCAGCTACAATCTGGGGCTAAAATTCAAGTGACCAGAGATATGGATGCTGATCCTAATTCACAGACAAGGCCTGTCGAACTCACTGGTACATCCGAACAAGTCAGTAGGGCAGAACAGTTGATTAATGACTTGCTCGCGGAGGTACACTTCATACACTTAATTTAGCTGTTTAGTTGAAATTTGTTTGCATATAATTGATGTTAGCTAGTCATTCTATTAACATGACATCTGACGCAGGCAGATGCTGGGGCTTCTGGCAGTGTATCTAATCGAAGATTTGGTGGAGATGTAGCTGGTGCTGAGCATTTCTCCATGAAAGTTCCTAATAACAAGGTCGGCTAGCTAAATATAGTTTTTTTTTGTTTAATAAAGTGATGTTTCTTTTGAATTCTTAGTGGCCTTCATGTTTGCTTTCATTCAGGTTGGTCTTATCATTGGTAAAGGTGGCGAGACAATTAAGACCATGCAAGCTAACAGTGGAGCTCGTATCCAGGTTTGTATTTTATTTTTTTGAACATATTCATATATTCTGGGTTTTTAACTTTCATGCTTTTCCTTTGTCACATGGGAAGCATGTCATGTGTCTAATGATATGTACCTTACTTCTCTAATTATTATGTTTATGTGTAATAATCTTAGTTTCATTAATTTCAAATTACATTTATAGTGTGTGACAATATTTGCTTCCTCTTAATCAGCAATGCTTGTGGCCCTGGCTTAGTATATGGTTGAGATATGAGGTTGTCTTTCCAATTCGTATAGGTTTTATGTTTCCTAATTTGACTAAGTCTGACTAATATATCTTTTGACAAGCCTGTGATCTGAAAGTTTGGCAAGTTGCACGAACTCATTGTGAATCACCACTTGGATGCCAAGTTGTTTAATTTTTAAGTTCTCTCCTTAATATATATTAGAGATACAAGTATATAATGGTGGTAGAGGCTTTTCTTTAGATTAAAAAGTGAAATTTGATAAGTGACAAGCAAGTTCTGTTATTCATGAGACAAAAATTTTATTTGGGTCTTCTGTGTGATTCAGGTTTGTACACAAGTGCATGCTTTACAAAACTTGCTTGTCATTTATTGTGTTCCCCATCAGCTAGATCTTTCCTCTAATAGAAAATATTTTATTTAAGAACAAATTTTTTAAACAGACCCGTTTCAATTTTTAATTTTCAAAACCGACTCTTTTTTTTTTATTTACCAAAACCGACCCGATTTTATGATTAGCAGATTAATCACCTTCCTAAATAGTCGGGGTTGGCAACCCCGACTATTTAGGACGGTGTTAAACCCTAATTAGAAGCATTAAACCCTAAAAATTAATGTCCTAAATAGTCGGGGTTGCCAACCCCGACTATTTAGGAAGTTAATTTTTAGGGTTTAAGGCTTTTAATTGGGGTTTAACACCGTCCTAAATAGTCGGGGTTGCCAACCCCGACTATTTAGGAAGGTGATTAGTCTGCTAATCACAAAATCGGGTCGGTTTTGGTAAATAAAAAAAAAAAGTCGGTTTTGAAAATAAAAAGTTGGAATGGGTCTGTTTAAAAAATTTGTTCTTTATTTAACTAATTATAGACTGTCATGTTCTTTAGTTTAGAATAAGAAACAAACTCACTGGCCAATGCATGAGCTATGTGTTTATTCTTGAATCCTAAGAAATTTTGCTTGTATATATAGGGAATGATGAGTATGAGGTGGCGGCTCATTGTGCTAAATGAGCTACCAAGAATAGAGTGATGAGGCTGCATATATATATATATATATATATATATATATATATATATATATATATATATTATATATATATATATATATATATATATAATGATAGGTTATGAGGTGCGGCTCATTATGCTAAATGAGCTACCAAGAAATAGAGTGGTGAGGTGCATATATATATATATATATATATATATATATATATATATATATATAATAATATATATATATGATGAGAAAATGGAGAAACTTGGTACAAGTTGCTCCAAGCAACTTGATAGTGATGTAGTCTAATCTTGTCCCTACATTGGAGTTGATAAGGGTGGTTGAGGTCTTCGAGGTGTGATGTAGGGGCAAGATTAGGCCACATCACTACCAAGTTGCTTTAAGCAACTTGGTACTAAGGTTCTTCATATTTCTCATATATATATATATATATATATAATATATAATATATATATATATATATATATATAATATGAGATGGCGAGACTCATTGTGCTAAATGAGCTACCGAGAAATAGAGTTGTGAGGTGCAGCACCTTTTGATGTGACTAGTAAGGTGGCCTCACTATTTGACTATCTCTTAGTAGCCTATTTTGTAAAATGAGCTGCCACTGCATATTCATTTATGCCCGCCTCAAAAAAAAGACACGCACGTATATAAATATATATATATAATAGTATGTATATATTATATATATATATATATATATATATATATATATATATATATATAGAGAGAGAGAGAGAGAGAGAGAGAGAGAGAGAGAGAGATAGGTATGCTTGGTACCAAGCACAAGTTTTGTGCTTGGTAGTGAGATAGCATATTCCCCTCCACTCATTGAAATCGGAGCCCACATTCACGTGGGTTGGGGAGTGGTTGAGAATTGAAATGAATGGATGAGAATAGGATACCTCACTACCAAGTACAAAATTTCTGCTTGGTACCAAGCATACCCATTTTTCTCATATATATATATATATATATATATATACACACACACATGTAGATACATACATACATATATACACACATACACACATATATGTAGAATTAGACTATTCCAATTGATGATCCCTTCCATTCATCGTGATCCAAATGTCTCAAAACATCAATAAAATAAAAATCACGATGATTAAATACTTCTAACACATATTTTTTATTATCTCTTTAGTTATATTGTTGTAAAATCGTTAATGTTACAATCACTTGATGCATGAGTAACCACAACCCAACATGGCTAATTTTTTGTTTGTATACAATAAAAAATATATAAATCAAAATGAATGGAGTGGATTGAGTAATTTGATAACATATAATATAGTTTTGAAGGTGCTACTTTAGATTGAATCTAAGATGCCTCCTTATGATTTATGAACACTTTTCCACACACACATGTATATTCTTGTGCTACTTCTGTTTATTTGTTTGTTAGTACTTGACTTGAGACTACATTGTTCTTTCCAGGTTATACCTTTACATCTCCCCCCCGGAGATACATCCAATGAAAGAACTGTGCACATGGAAGGGACAAATGAACAAATAGAAGCAGCCAAAAAGTTAGTTAATGAGATCGTCAATAGTGAGGTACCTGAAGGGGTTCTCCCTGGGCTTCTAATGCCTGTTCACAGATTTCAATATTTTGTATAGCAACATGATCATTGTGTTTTATGATGCCTTCTTTTTTAAAAAGATTGCAATGCACAGTAAGAAAACAATTACTTATAGCTGTAGGCATTCTATTGTTTATTTACATATGTTGACTGATAGTTTGAATCTGAATTTGCTTTAGGAATCTCGTCATATTTAGTCTACAATACTTGTTACTTTCCAGTATAGGCCTGGATACTGTCCGAATAGAATAAAGCTATATTTATTACTTTCCAGTATAGCAGTTGTACTGTCTATTGGACATAGGCTTTCTCTTACTGACTATTAGCATTACTCTTAGGCTTCGAGAAATAGTTACAATGAGATCCTGTTAGTTTTCTTTTTCTTGTTGATTAGGGGTGTTATCGGAGCGGATACGGTTCGGATATGACACTTACGCTTTTTATAAACGGATACGAATACAGATACAGATCATTCTCGGTAAGAAAAAACACTAACCATATCCGCACTTATCGGAAACGGATACAAGATCAGATATTTGAGAATTGAATCGGATATGATCACGGATATAAACGGATATTCATATATAATTAGAATTACAACCAAATAGGTTTAAATGTATGTGGTTGTAGGCTACGGATTACATCATCATTCCCAACGTAGGAGCAGTTTCCACACCTTAGTGTCAACCATAACAAAGTCACTCTTTTTTACTGCAATCTTTATCTAATCATATGTAGATGCAGCCAATCTCAAATGCACTAATAATAGCAAAACCACAAAGAAAAACGCGAACCCATTTTCATATACAGCCAATCTCAAATGCATTCATTCAAGCCATGGAGACATAGATAGTTTAGATGCCCGTAATTTTTGTTCAATATTTAAAACTTATGAGTTTTGGTTAAAGATTCAAATTTCAAAAGGAAAACGCGAACCCATTTTCATAACAAAGCTAAATTCTAATCAAGTACCCAATCAAAAAAAATTAGGGAAATTGAGTGTGTATCGGACCTTGTAGGCCCAAGAACCAGAAGGTCTCTGCTCTCAGATCCTTACGGTCTTATCGCCGCTGCAAGAAGCGAGCATCGTCGATATTACTCCGGCGCTGGTCACCGGATTCCAAGCCAAGCTCCAAACCCTATCGGTGTGCCCTTCGAGCTGCTGAATCTCTTTTAGGTCAAAGTTACCGTCTAAAAAGTCCATCTCCATAGATCGAAGTGGGGGTTGAATGATGAGTGATTAGGATTAGGGTTTTCGATTTGGGAATTTGGGGATACTAAATTTTCTTCTTTTTTTCTCCTTGTGATCTTGTGGTTTCCGAACATGGAGAATTGGGAAGAAAGGACGAGTAGGAAAGGTTTTGACTGTGTTATTGAATAGTGTTGCTTCGCACGAAAAAATTAACTTAGGTTTTTCTCAAAGAACTGAGTTTTTCTCAAAGAACTGAGGGCGCAGGCGGCTGGATCCAGCGACGGGTTGGGAGTGGATGCAGGTGGTTGGATCCGGCGGCGGGTTGGGAGTGGACGCAGGCGGTTGGGAGGGCGGAGGCTGAAATTGAGGAGAGGAGAAGGGCGGTTGGGACTTGGGAGGGCTAGGGTTTTTAGTTTTTACTTTTTTCTTTTGGTTTTGGGTTAGCGGGTTTGTAATTATAAATTTGGGACCCGATTACCCGAATCATTATTACATTGCGGATATCCGTATCCGCAACCCTCATATCCGTATCCGAAAAAAATTCCGAAACTAGATCCGTATCCGAAACCGTATCCGCTCGGTTTCAAAATTAGCTTACCATATCCGCATCCGTTCGGATACGGATGCGGATCGGTTCGGATATATCCGAACCGTTTGGCACCCCTATTGGTGATAGTTTGACAGATATGATAGTCACTTCAATTCTTTGGAGGTTTTGCCTCTAAATATGTCAAATAACAGATGCTTCTTATTTGATGATAATCCTAGCCCCAGTAGGTATAACACTGTCTGTTGGCGCACTATGATTTTCTTTTTGGGGGTAGACGTCATGATCCCATGCAATTTACATCGCTGTGTATCCTATCCATGCTACTAATTTTATGTGGCCAAATGCCAATATTTGAGCTACAGAGGAGTTCGTCTTCATCTGGTTTTTTGGTACCTTTTCCCCTTAAATATTTTCTGCATATTGTGTTAAGTTTTGCATTTAAGTTGGCAGCATTCGACAAGGTCTAGCAGGCGCTTGATACGAGATCATCTAAAGCATATACTTACAAGACAAGAAGGGATAGCATTGGAGGCCCAGCAACAAGGGTTGGAATGGCATCCCTTATACTTTAAGTAGTAGTCTAATATGATCTCTTCTTGACCTTTTTCAATCACATTTGATCGATCAATGTCAACTTCTGCATATCTTTCATATTTTCAAGGTTTCGCTCTTTGATCATATATTGCTTGATTGAATCAGTGGGTTCCTTTGGAGAAAAGGATATATTGTTATGAGAAAATATAGAATATCGAAGATTTGACCAGTGCAGAAACTTCATTGTTGGAACTTTTATGGTTTTTAGGGTATCATAGTTGGAAATTTATGGTAATATCCAAGTACAAACAGCTAGGCTAAACATGACCATTTTGATCATATGATAACGGAAAGGAAAAGTGCTGGTTATGTTATGAACTTGTTCTTGTTGAGAGTTATTGTAGGATTGGCTTGTGTTGGTGATCCCAACACATCACAGCTGTCTAGGAAGCAGTTGCTTTTCTTTCATGGCTTGGTACGGTATGGTCTTAAATCTCCCCTCCTGTAATAACTGTTTGAAATTTTGATTGAAACACCTGAAGTTCAATGCTTATCAGGAAATTGAATAGAAGATATGTCATCTATTTCTAGTGATTATTGAGTTTGGAGATTCATTAAATTTTTATACTGCTGTCAACTTCTTCTGAACCTTGTTTTCACTAAAAGATATATTCTAGCTTTCCTATATGTTGGAGCAGTTCTGGTACAAGAGACATACAGTCCTCTTATTCCACTGAAATTGGATTATTACTATTATTATTTTGTTTGGTACCTTAAATTCTCCGAGGTTACCCATCCCTTATTATTGTCTTTTTATACTAACTCTTGCTGTGATTGTTTACATTTCCTCAATGACTTCAATTTTATTTTTAATTTTTTATTTTAGTTTTATTGGTTTTTGCGATGTTAACAAATATTTCATGCTGTTGAATACTTGAAAAAATTATTTTAATTATATCATATTGCTATCCTTGTGGAAATTGCAGGTAGTTTATAGATCATCAAGAATCAAACTATTGCTGTGATAATTGAAATATTTTTTTATTACTGTTATAATTATTACTATCATCAATATTACTGCAAAAATCGACATTAAGTCCTTCATTTTGTCTCGTCATCTTAGTCCACGAGTGCTTGCATGTAGTGCTTTAATGATCCACTTTATTTTACCTTGTAATTTCGTCCCTTTCTCGTCACATAAAATTGTGATTCATGCAGTTTAGTTCCCTCTATTCTATTTCTCCTTCTTCTTTAATCATGATGTAATTTGACCGGCTATTCGTGATATCATAATGTTCTTGCTCTTCTCTAAATAGAGGTTTTCCTATAATATCATTCAGGTTGACTATTATACTATTTCGCAGTCGTTTGCTCATTTATAGTATGTTAGCACTGATGCTTATTTTCCATTGAGCAGCTACTGCTAGAGGTGTTAAAGTTTTATGCTCTAGCATTTCAGTTAGTATAGAGCCAGCTGTATGAACAGCTACATAAATCGCAGACCACCTGAATCTGGAACTTTCTGACTGGTTGTACATATTTTAGTGAGATTAAATTCCTCTACGATAGAGCTTGTAATTTGGAATTGATAGTGGTACAGCGGTTGCTTAGAATGATGGGTCTTATTGCTTGTAATTAGATTAGTTTTGCTTTGTTTTTATGAGTTTTCTAACATGGTCATATAGTAATAAGGCCTTGCTTGTTGTTATACACTTGAATTCTGTTCAACTCATATTTCTATTTTCATTTATCATGTTTACACATACTTTCTTGCAATTTCAGGATTTAAAAAGGAATATTAATACACCAACTTAAAGCCTATAAAAGGTCATGGTATAAAAGGGTCATGGAGTGCCTCATTAATTCATGTATTCCTCATGATGCTCATCACCTTCCATTTGATGATCTCAGAGTTTTTCTTGCATTACTCTAATTGTATTGTTTAAAATGCCATACTTCGGTGGCACTGGCACTTCAGGCATTTTGTTGGTTAATGGTGTGGAGGTGGAACTACTTCCTATCAAACACATCTTTTCAATTCTTAAACGTGCTAAAAACCACTATACACATCAGTCTAGTCAGACGGACCCCAATGTTGCTTCATCTGGGAAGAAGCAATCTGTTTATGACCAAAAATTGTAGTCTATTGGTTAGAGATAAG